GATTCGCACCTGTTCCTCGGCCAAATCTCTCTGCACCATCAGCGGATCGACCCAGGCCTCTGACTCCGAGTCCCCCGAGCTTCCGGACTGGTTCAAGTTCTTCGATTCTAAAAACTCCTCACATACAGATGCTGATGACGATGTCTTCGTTATTCCTCCATTGGCGCATTGGCTTGATTCCCAAAGGCTTGAAGCCCACAGTAACGTTGTTAAGAAGACACTTAACCAGGCGAGTGATAACGAAGTCGATAAAGTAAGTATGATGCTGAAGAATCGATACCCATCACCGGAAAACGTTGCGGAAGCTTTGAATGGAAGTGCTTACAGAGTATCAAACACATTGGTTGCACAGCTTCTGAAGAGATTTGGGAATGATTGGATCCCTGCTTATGGTATTTTCAAGTGGGCAAAAGAACAAACACCTTATAGGCATTCGCGTGAGTCGTATAACTCCATGGTAGACATCTTGGGGAGAGCTAAAAGGTTTGGACTGATGTGGGAATTAGTGGATGAGATGAGTCGTTTATCTGGGTATGTGAGTTTGGAGACGATGAGTAAGGTCATTAGGAGACTTGCGAGGGCTGGAAGGTATCAGGAGGCAATCGAGGCATTCCGGAGGATGGAGAAATATGGCGTTGGCAAGGACACAGCAGCCATGAATGTGTTGATGGATGCATTAGTCAAGGAGGGCAGTGTTGAAGATGCCCACAATGTGTTTGAAGAATTGAAGGGTTCAATACCTTTCAATTTGACCTCTTTCAACGTTCTAATTCATGGGTACTGCAAAGCTAGGAAGCTAGATGAGGCATGGAAGATAATGGATGAAGTTGAGAAACATGGACTCGAACCTGATGTGATTTCCTATACTGCTTTCATTGAAGCTCATTGCCGCGACAAGGACTTCCGGAAGGTGAATAAGATTCTGGTGCAAATGGAACAGAAGGGATGCAGGCCTAATGCAGTAACTTTCACCATTATAATGCATGCTCTAGGGAAGGCAAAACAGTTAAATGAAGCTCTAAAGATATATGAGAAGATGAAGAAAGAGGGGTGTGTGCCTGATAGTTCCTTCTACAGCTCTCTGATATTCATTCTTGGTAAAGCTGGTAGGCTCAAAGATGTTAAAGAGATAGTAGAAGACATGACAAAGCAGGGAGTTAATCCAGATGTGTTGACATATAACACTATAATATCTTGTGCTTGTGCGCATTCGCAGGAAGAGACGGCTCTAAGATTGCTGCAGAAAATGGAGGCAGATTCGTGCAAGCCAGACCTCAAGACTTACCACCCTTTATTGAAGATGTTCTGCAAAAAGAAGAGAATGAAGGTGCTAAAGCTTTTGTTAGATCACATGTTCAAAAATGATGTGAGTATTGAAGCTGGGACTTACTCGATTCTGGTGCGTGGGCTGTGCGATAATGGGAAACTCCATCTTGCTTGCTCGTTCTTCGGGGAAATGGTGTCGAAGGGAATGATTCCTAAAGACTCCACATTCAAGATGTTGAAGGAAGAACTTGAGAGGAAAAGTATGTTAGAAGAAATTAAAATAGTTGAGAAGTTGATGTCTTATGCAACAGAGCAAGATCAGAGCTAAAGATTGAGATTTGTACCAGAGCAATTTGCTGATCCAGACCATTTTCAAAATTGGTGCTCTTACGAGAACTTATCTATTTACAGTGTTATTAGAGAAAGGACTAATGCAAACAAATTTGAATACAAATCTTTATATTCAAATGCTGCCCATGTTGGGTGTAACAATATAATCTACATCGACATTATGTACACCATTTTAAAATAACATGAATATAATGCACAATCATAGAGTATAAAAATGAATTCACATCTACATTAAATTTGTGAACATCTTAAATCACTATCTCGCCATTCATCATAAACGGACAGGACAATCAATATTCATGAATTGGAAATGTAAAAGATCCATGTCTCTCCATAGAAATATTATAGGGAAGAGGTATACAAAAATCTTCCTTTTGAATCAAGTTCGCAATAAACTGCAACTAATGGTAAACAGAATCACTCGTGTAAACATATTTACCAGCAAGATTTATACAGCAACTCAATAAGGAAACCTACGTCTAATTGGATTGGTTAAAATTTGGAAAGCAACAGACTTTCTGCTTGATGAGGCTCTTTTCTATGTATACATTAGTGGGGTAAAGAAAACTCAAAATTCTCAGCTTTTAAAGCTACTACTATGCAACGAATATCTCAGAGATATCGTTTAACACTAGAGGATAGGAGGGACCTTGAGCGGATATTCGACTTTAATTGCCTTGTTCTTGGTCTTTGCCATCCTATTCTTCCTAAAAACTCCTCGATCAGCCTGGTATAAGAATATGAAGCAATTAGAAATCATGAAACATGAGCCAGGATAAAACTATATGTTACTGGAGGACTTTGGGTGTCATACATGCTGCAAACTGACTTCTGTGCAGCTGCCAATTCACGGTCTGGGAATGATTCCTCCAGTCGAAAACTCAACCAAACATAGAGATCCAAAACCTTCAAATCCAATAGCAACAGATGTAAACTCATCATTTGGCAGTAGACTACATTTCAGGAAACATTTCGCCACGTGGACTTGAACAAAATGAAATTGAGAACAAGCAATAAAAGTAAGCTAGCTATAAACCATTTATCATATAAATAATGAAAATCTCTGCCTCAATTTTCCTTTGTGGGATGAGGGTGGTGGCTTGCATAAACAGTTATAACATCATAGTTTATAAGCTAACTAATTGGTGTAATGGAGTGATTTCAACATCTACACTACATCCATATAAACGATTTAAACAAACCAAAAGGTTCAATTTCCATCAATCACCTGGAAACTTCACATTTGTTCAAGAATATTGGGAGAGAGAGAGAGAGAGAGAGAGAGAGAACTAGAGGACCTCTTGCCTCAAAGCAAGGAGCTTATAACTATATTTCACCTTGTGAATGGACTCCAGCTCCTTCAGGGCAGCTTGTGTTTGTGGCACTTGAAGAGTTCCTGCTGTAAATATTTCTCGTAGCCGAACAATGCCTTTATTTGCATAATTTTGAGCAAACTGCTTCATCATGCATTTAAACATATAAGTTGCCAGTTGATGAAAATAGAATATAACAAGAAGCATGGATTAATTAGACCTGTGTAAGACCTTGGGATGTAATATCATCAGCCATGTCCACAGGGCTGCATTAAAAAAGGGGGACCAACTGACATTAGTTTAAACGAGTTTGCGATAATAGATTAAAACTACTACACTTTGTCAAACTAAAACTTCCTTCTATAAAAACTAAAAAGGCCCAAAACTGGCGAATGACTGAAAACGAGATTCACTTTTCCTTTTACCTGATACAGAAAAGGTACTTGTCGTGCAAACTGAGGGGCATCTCATCAAGGACGGCAGCAACTTTCTGATTCCAAGACACATATTACAACATGAAAAAGATTAAGGAAGTGTTACCAAGAGAGGAGAACCTACAAAATTGAATAAAATTCCTGTTTTCAACAAGACATCATCCAGTAGACAAACATACCAACATTTCTTCACAGTCAGAAATAAAATAATTTTCAGATAATTTAGCATTATCAACAAAGTGCTCCTGCATAAAATATTAAAGTTACAAAAAGATGTTAGTCATAACTATGTCATGAAATGAAGAAAAACCATAATCTTTCAAAATGCTCTGCTCTTGTAACAAATGCATTTCATGTGTACACTAAAAACCAGGCTACCGACCTAAAGGAGCAGAAAGTCAACAACTTGCCTACGTTCCTTGTGTTGAGATGCAATGAACTAAACCCAATCAAATATTTCCAACTAAGGTTATACAATTAAATTCCGCAATACAAATAACTAAAGATCAAGGTTAACTACTTCTGGGAAGTTGATCAAACTATGTCACGTCAGAACCACTCCATGAAGTTTCGTACCTCATGGATGCATGAGATGCATAGGTATCTATGAACCTTAAATATTAGGTACTCATGATTACTTACTGGACAGAACGCTTGGTATAAATATACAAATAACAACAAGAAGGTCAAGCAGCAACCTACCAGTATCTGCCGCAGGCCATTTTCTGGGTGTAGACGGGAATATAAATACATGAGCTCAAAAGTTGGAAATAGCCCAGCTCTCTGCATTTTTGAGTTTTCATAGTTTGAAGAAATATGATAAAAAAATTTAAACCATATTCTTTAGATGATTTGAAAAAATAACACCAAGCCAATTGATTGCATCGAATCATTTATTACTAAATAAAAGATCACCTCTATAGTGGGAGACGCAGACTTTAGTGATGAATGAAGTAAGGGTAAATCATCTCCATTTATACAAGTTACTTCGCCAATGGGAAATTTTGATCCATACCTGCCAGCTCTACCTAAATACAAAAACAGAAATATTTCTGAATCATACAGCATGTACAAGGAATTATGGAACAGCTGAAATCAAATTATTGATGTTTGACTTTGAACAATTCGATGAAAGTATTTTGATAGCAACTAACGAAACAAGATGATACATGCATCCAACCAACAATAGATGAGCCTATCCTTAGGACCCCAAATTTGTTCAGACCCTGATCTCATAAAATAGCCTACATCTTCCATTCCAAAAATGGAGTCAATAAGGTTTATACCAATTCATATGGAGTAAAGATCATCGAGATCAACTATATTAAGCGTGAAGATATAATAAGACCTCATCGAGGAAAGAGACTGGCTAACAACTCCACATTAAAAACAATATGGTAACCTAGAACCTTGAATAAGTTTAAACTTGGTCCTTTTTGAATGAATGTGTTACTGGGTTTCTTATCAAAAATAAAAAAAATTAAGTTTCAAACTTGGTCGAGCAAATCTGAAAGAAATACCTTAACTAGTAAGGAGAAATAGTTGATTGTAAGTAAACATATTAAATAGAGTTAGTATCAAGTAAAGTTGAGAAATTAAAGTGTTTTAGTGGGTATTAATGTGTTACAAGCATTCAAACTCCACTCCATGCCCTTAGCAGACATAGCTTCCAGTTTTCTGACTATCCACTAATTTCTACTGTATTTTGATGGCAGACTGATGGTATCCGTATATAATCTGTAACCTAGAGCAAGTTACAGCGTTTTCTGCCCAATTGTTCAATCAGATATACTCAAGGTCTTAATTGAAGTAGTCGAATTAAATGGAGTTCAGACTTACCTGCAATCTGTTTGATCTCTGGTATAGTAAGCTCCCGCATTTCAAAACCATCAAATTTCTCCATAGTTGAAAATATGATCCTCGAGATGTTCAAATTAAGACCCATCCCAATGGCATCGCTAGCCACCAGCACATCAAACTCACTGGTTGTATCATTGAACATTGTTGCCTGCAGTTCTAAAAGCATCTCAACTTAGTGAATCCAAGGTTGCCAATATACAACCACTAAAGTTCGAAGTTCGAACATGGAGCAAAGTGGTTAGTAGCAGAAAAATTTTAAGAGAGAGAGCATGTAACAGACACAAGAAAGATGGTCAACAACATAAGAGTATCAGTAATGGAACTAATCTATGAAATAGGAAAGCACAGTTATTTTATTACCAAGGCAAGTTAATGTTTTATCATAATCGGGCAGATGCTAATACCTGCCTCGTTCGAGTTTCTGGTGGTAGTGAACCATAAACTACAGAGCAAAGATGTCTACTGTCACTTTCAATTTTTTTCTGGCAAAGAAAGAGAACAAAAACAGTTAAAGAGTTTAAGTTGGAGGTACAATGCTAAGAAGTTATAGCAAGAATTGTTGTAGCTAATAAGCGGTAAAGTAAAAGGAGGGAGGGATGGAAATAACTTTAGTGTCAAAACAATACTGGTAAAAGTTGAGGATAAGTAATTATCAAATGAAGTTTTCGAGGCAGTGAAAAGAATAAGTATTAGATAAGATAAAGAGAAACTGACCTTATAGCCATATATTTTACGACGTGAAAAGGTAACGACACAATCACCCGTCCTAATATTAGAATAGGGTCCAAGTGGAACTTTCATTGGAATCAGAGGTGAAAGTCTCTCATAGTATTGTACCTAAAGCAAAGAAAGAGCTAGAAAGCTTTACAAAACAAAAATATGAATATCATGTAGAAGATAATTATCAACTTGAAGTCTTGAACTATTAAAATCGATGGAAAGAGAATAGTCAGATATCAATAATAGCACATATCGTTCAAATTCATGTGATAGTTTGATAGATATAACCGTTGACTTTGTTGCATGATATAGTAAACACTACAGAGTAACACTTATAATTTTTTTCTATCACAAGTGGCAACAATGAAACGAAACGTATACAGAGAACAATTTTCTTACCTCGATATCATCACCAGTTACTTTTAGAATTTCCTGAATAAGAGGTACAACAGCTGCATCTCCACAAAGGTGAAGCTCATCAGCACAAATTCCAAGTAGTGCACGTGTAAATGAATATCCCCTTGTCTTACATCCCAACATCTAAAGAAGGAAAACCAGTAACCATAAGTTCAAAACTTCAACATTTTATTTCAACTAAAAGTTTACAAGTCAAGTCCCAATTATCCTCAACTACTTTCTGAAAAAGATCCATTTATCAATATTGTTACCATTAATAACACTTTTAATAATTGAATACATGTAGAGAACTTTAGATAAAGCAAAAAAAGAGCTTAAAGAACTCCATTACTTCAAATATAACCCAAAATCAATGTAAATCTTATCCCTTGCATAAATATTCTAAAAACTTCGAACAGAAGAGACACAGCACAGAAAAAACATAGAACTTCAATTATGCATCATAGTTGAGCATGCCAGACATAACAAGTGAGTGATATAAGCATACAACACGTCAACCACTACATATAACAAGCTACAATTTCCACCACTAGCAGTTTCTACTGGACAGAACAACCTTAATTGAAGTATTGGCAGAGTTTCTATGTGGTTGACCCAAATTCCTAAGAATGAACTCTAGTGGACATGCCTGAATTTCATCAATAACTGCACAACTGTAGTTGGAGGTTACATCAGCCATCTCAACAGTCACAGCCCTGTGTTTTGCACCATCAACTTCCTCTTTTTCTTGTCCTGTGATCAAATCACAAGGAATTTTTGCCTTATTCAACCGCTTAGCCACTTCCCAAGCCAACAATCTCAGGGGACCACAATATATGCCTGCATAAGAAGACAAAAGCAGGGATTCAGAAGATATCCATGACATGAAGAAGTTTCTCCATGTAAAACACTGAATAGAGAGATTAATAAACTAGAAAAGTAAATTCATGAAATGGTTGCTACGTACCAGAACCACTTGATTCAAGCCTCTTCAAAGCATTGTGAGTTTTGCCACTATTAGTTGGACCCATGTGCAAAAAAATTTTGCGATGTTTCCTTCTTGCATTTGGATACCATGAATGGGGACGTCTAAGTAGGGGTAACCCAGTTAGCAATTAATAAACTGAGGAATGACTGTACCTCTTGCAAATGATTTACGAGAAATATAGAAGGATGAACATTGGAAACTTATTGGTCGCATAAACATAAGAGTATGGAGAACTCTCGACACAAACAAACAGTAGGAAAAACTAGACACTTCTAAACCTTCCGTCTTAAATAGGTATGTAAGAATGAGGCATATTTGAACAGAGACATTTGTTGGAGTTTTCACCACATTGTAGCTAATCTGCCATGGCTGTTCGATTCAGGTCTAAAAAAGTATCTCTCTGTATCAATTGTATGCTAACTATTGATTAGTAAAAGTGATAGAGGTAGCAAACTAGCAACCATATCGAGGCAGACACATCAAATATTTTCTCTTCTGGTAGGGGTTGCACATCAATAACTGCACAACTTTTAAAATCTTCTGATAGACTCAAACCGACACAACCACTGAGAACATCATTAAGATACCTCAACAGTTGAGAATGCTGCGCAAAGTAAACGTACAATGTATACAGAAGTTAAATGCTTAAATTCTAAATTTCATGCAGCTTAAGTCTAATAGGTTCTTTTTTTAAAAAGAAAAATTATGAGAAACAAGTCTAATAGTCTTACGTCAAGTCTGTGAAATCAAATTTATCGGCACTGCTGTAGATACTGTACTGCCTACAGCCAAAAGGTCCAAAGTTCAATTTGAAATCCTTGCTTAGTGCCCCCACAAAACCTGCCAAAAGTAGAAAAGAAAAATGCTTTATGCAACACAATGAGGGTGTGGTATTTGCTATGTTATAGCACTGGAATGTTTTATTCTACATGCTTAATGGTACGCGCACCAGTGACCTAATAATGCCAAAACTGTTTCCGAACACTTCTTTTCTCGAGTTCCTTCTAATATTTACCAGAAAAGCTATGTTCGGATTGGTAGCTGACAAAGTCATCCAATTGTAGGAAACACAATTCCCCCTCAATTGAGCATTTTAACAAGTTTTAGGTTTTCCCAATATCCATTGCTAAAAAAAGAAGAAGAAGAAGAAGAAGAAAACACCTTTTCTTGGATAGAAGAACCACGAAGGAAATATTACCCATAACAATTTTGTTAGCCTAATGTAAAAACAGAATAACTCTTCAAACATCAAGAAATTAAACACAAAAACGCCATATAAAAATGCTTCTCCACATCCATTCTCTCAGAATGAAAGCCAGAATCAAATCCACCGTCAACTGGGCTAGAAAAAACTTAACAGAAACTACTCGATACTTCCAAGAAAATATTTCGACGTCATTTGGTTTCAATCAATAATCTATCGACAACACTGCAAACGAAGTAGACAGACAGAGAACGCAACAAACATGGTAAATGACGGAAAGAGACGGCTGAGAATCGAACCGGAGAGAACAGAAGAACCCGCCGGGGAGAAAAGCTTGCGGCAGAAATGCATCGACGCCATTGTCAGCTACGATGACAAACATGTTCCAACACGCATGGGGTCGCTAGTAGAACTTGAGCGGGGATCAAAACGAAGGAAAACATGTGGTCAGCTGAAAATCGCGAAGGTTTCTTCGATTGCCACTCCAATTCCGAAACTCATTCCCAGAATTCTCGGAGTTCCGTAGGTCTTCCTTCCATTGACACGCAGACTTCGGGTCCTGAAACCTTCAACCGAATGACTTCCAAGTTTCTACTGCTCGTTTACTCCATGGCCAATGCAATTGCGGACCCCTGCAATAATATGCAAAATTGGGACATTTTCGGTTAATGGTGAATTTGCCTCACAAAAATATGCTAACTGCTGAGTGAAATTATCAAAGAAAAAAAAAAACAAACGGAATTTTGGGTAACTTTGAGGTTAAAATCAAAATATAATTTCTTTGACTTATTTTAATCTCTATATTTTTTAATTCAAGATGTTTATTTATTTTTAATCGTTGTTTAACTCCTAAATGGAACATTATCATTTGTTCCATTCGGTAGTTCAAGTATCTTTGTAATGATATGATATTGTCCGTTTTGGATATAACACCGACTTTGCTTTGGGTGATAAAAAATTGTTATCATCTATATACTATAAATTATGTTCTTCTCTAGTAAATATGAAACTTTGTTTGCTTACCACCCAACAAATAATAATTGTATCATTAAAAATGTCAAAATTTATCTAGTGAAACCAAAATATAGGTCTCTAAATTTATATGATCCAATAATTAATCAAAATTAAAATTTTTATAAAAGGATCTATTCTAGAAATAACAATAGTTCATGTTTGACTATTACCTTAATTATAGTATAATTTATTTTAGTACAATAAGAGAGAGGAAATTTGAACCTCACTTTTCTAAATTTATTGAAGCAAGTAATTTATTGATTTTGTCACAATCATCTAACTTCTTTATTGAAATTATTTATCTTGTAATTATTTTGCATTTAACGAATTTTTTAGTACAGGATAATCAATTGGAAGACGAGGCAGATGAAAAAACTACTTCTGAATTCGTGCAAAAAGTGATTTTATAATATTTTGGAGTACCAAAATCACTTCCCTTCCTCTTTTTTGTATTAAAAAAAATTACTTCTCTTTTCACGAGTCATAACTTGATTTATTAAAATAATTATTTTAAATTGATTTTTAAGGTATTACTTAAATGGTATTTTGAAAAATTATACTTAAATCTCTTTTTCCAAAATCAATAATTCTACCATTATTCCTAAACACACTCTTAACTCATTCTACCGTCACTTCCAAGTACATTTTAAAGATCGTTTGATTGGAGGGTTTAAGAGGGAGGAACGGGCTTGGACATATAAAACCCACGTTTGGTTGGAGATTTGAAATGATATGCTTGGAAAAACTCTTTTCCCAGACATCATTAACACGTTAAATTATCCTGCCAAAAAAGATGGGTTTTCTCTTCAGCCTGTCTCTCCAAAAAAATTCTCCCTCTCTCCTCTAAAATTATCTCTCTCTCCTCTTCCTCTTTAGTTGCCTTCTTTTTTCGTTTATTTTTTTTTTTTTGCTATTTGATTTTTTGGTTTGTGCTTTTTTTTTCGTTTTTTCTACTATTCATTTTTTCCTGGGTGCTTCGTTTTCATATTTTTTTCGTTTATTTTTTTCTCTATTAATTATTTGTTGTTTTAATTTCTGACAAAAACTTAAGTTTTTTTCTACCCTTTTGAGCAACAAATTAACTCTCTGCCCCTTAAAAATGTTAAAATAAAATTTTAGAACTACAAAATAAAAAAATGTTTAGAATTATTCTTTTAATAATTTAATTTAATAAAAATAAATTAATTACAAATTATTTATTTAAAATTATCTGAGGTAAATTAATGGTTGAGAGTTGATTTTGATTAATTTTAAAACAAATATGACATCATTTCCTTCCACAATAAGCATATTAATCCTTTACTCTCATAAAATTCTGTTAACATTCCTCTACACAACCAAACACAGTTATCTTTGATTCTCAATTATTTTATTCCCAAGCAACTTAATCCCAGACATCTTAGCTACATATTTTAAACCTTCAACCAAACGGCCCCTAAGTGTTGTTATCTTCAAAACCATTTTTAAGTAACCAAAATACTAACAACATGTTTACGAGTGATTTTGACATCATCAGAATTATTTTTACCATTTTTTAGAGTCACTTGTATATTATTGTGAAATATTACAATTTTAAAAGGAAGTGATTATTGCGATGAACAAGTTGATTTTGGCACGACGAAAATCACTTTCAAACATACCTTAATATTTTAAGGTAACATAAAAATGATTTTTGTTAAGTCAAAATCACTCTACCTAAAAAATGTTTAAAATGGGCTAAAAATATTTTTCATCAAAGGTCATTTCAACCTCAGACTCAACTCTATCCAAACTAATAACATGGCTACGAAATTTCGCATTCAATTTCTAACGAGTACCCATATTACGATAACTACTAGACTTTACTGTGTCCATAAAACCACAGAGAACAAAGTGGGAATGAAAGGAAAATTTTCTTTGCCTGATCATCGCCATGGCCTATTGATAAAAATTATATATAAACATTATAATACTATGTTTAATTTTATGTCAACAATTAAGCTAGCGGCGGTCGGAGCAACCCTATTCTCCAACTAAACAAACATCCTAAAACTATAAGAAAAGTACCAACATCGTGGGTCCACCAAAAACTTTCAGCCCAATTAAAACGATGGGCCTACCTGGAAGAATTCCCAGCGCAAAAGCCCGTCAAGAGAATGGGCCCAAATTCTCGGCCCATAATGATTTTGTACTTAATTATGTAAAAAATGCGTAAAATAAAACAACTCAATGTTGAAATAATTTCTTAAAAAGGGAAAAAAAAATAATAATACAATGATGATGTTTGGAGGAGCATGCTCGGTGTGCTCGGCCCATTTTCACATGATTAGCGTGCGGGTGGAAAGGCTTTTATTTATTAATTAATTAATTAATTTAGATTAATAATATTAGTAGTTAATTAAATACAAAATCAATTTCATAATCAAAACTAATAATTATAATAATAAAGGAATTTTTGTTAAATAAATTGCACGCCCGAGACGAGACAAAGCCCTGTTTGATTGCAGGCCTCCAATTAGACAAACCAATCCATCCTCCTATTCTTCATTTAGGTGAGTTCCCTTTTTTTTTTCTTTAATTTTTTTAAATTTTTGGAGATGTATCCATTTTTACCTCGACTTATTTCATTAAATTACACCTTAAACTATGATTCTGCTAGTTCCTCTTTTTGATGCTAAGGTTTTTCTTCCTCGCTCGTGAGTACGATTATAATTTTCACCTTCAACTTTAAAGTGATTTTGTAATTTTACTTATGATAAGTTTTCATTTAAAAAATATATTCTCACCAGCGTTTGATAAATTATAAACATATATTTTGTTGAAATTTGTAAGTTTGGTTAGATTTATTTAAGAAACAGATGGTTCAATTTTCACCCTATAATATTGAATTTAAAAAAATAAATAATTCATTACTCAAATTCCAAGAAATGGGTTAGCCAACACTAAGACATGTCAAAAATATAAACAAAAGGGAAAAAAAATTTAGACGAACCTAAGATATTAAACTACACGGACGTACGTTATAGCGTAAAGATGAAGCAATGCGCGAACACATCACACACACTATTTCAATAACCCTCTAAATCATATGATTGAAAAATTAATGAAATAAGCCAACTTCAAAAGTAAGTAAAAACAGGTATATATTCACCTACTCCCAAACACCATTTTGAACAAATAGACCACAAAATCAAAAATTTGACCCTCAAAGTCCATCATCAGCCATGAATTTTGGCATAAAAACAAAGATTATTAGATTGTCAATRTATGAATTAAATTTACCAGATTCATAAACTATATTTATTTCCACTTGTTGGGTTAAGGGATTCGGTTTGGTGGAATATGGGGGAGTAATTAAATAAGTCATCTCTGTCATTACTAATACAAGACATGTAATAGAGAGTGGGAGATGAATGGTTGAGAAGAGAAGACAAAATTGGGAGAAAGTGAGACCCCAAATCTTGGGAGAAGGAAGAAGAATAGGTAATTGGCATTAATGTGTGAATGTGAAGGCCTGCTTCAGCTCTCATCAATGGCTTCCCCAATCTTCTCTTCTCTTGTTTATCACATCAAAATCTTACATTTATTTATGGCCTAAATTGGTCCGATACTCCAATTGAATGTAAAAACAATAATGAATATTATTATATTACACCAATTTAATTAGGAAAGGTAATAGAAATTCAATATTAACGAGATGAATGGACCCTATTGTACCACATATTAACCGGTTTAAACCTAATTTTGAGGTTACGGTTAATTCAATTTTAGAGTGAATCCTAAATTATGGACGAGGTAGAGTTCATTATATTTTTTCACTCAAGTCGAACTACAACTAACTTGTTAGATTAATTCTTTTGTTTCTCATTCATGATAAAAATATATCTATCATACTTTGATTTACAAAATTTTAAGAGTATATCAACCACCCAAAACTTTGGTTAATTTACATAAATTTAAAGATGTAATTTAATCTAAATGAAAATTCCTATTGTGTAATCACATTTTTCAGTATTATATGATGTTGTGGTAAATACGAACCTAGAACAGCGGGTTAAGGTATGCTCATCAACCAAATGGTCGAAAATTCGAAATCCCATGCCCAAAAAAAACAGTATGATGCAGTGCTGTGCGGGATATATTATTTGACTTTATGGGACTGATTTTAGGGTCCCAAAACACCCAATATTGATGAGAGGAAACCATTTCATATTTTACTTTTTGACTACTGTTGAAAAAGATAACTATAAATTGGCTCACTTCCTTCTTTTCAGCTCATAGAGTGGTCCAAAATATCTTAAGTTCTAATGTATTTACACCACGAACAACGAAGATCATTCCCAAATAAAAAAAGTTAAAAAAAAACAGATATAATTATTATTAATTAGTGATGTAGGAAGAGGTGATTAAGAGTATTGGGTTTGTAAGGTGATTGCAGACAAAGTCTCACATTAGCGGTATATAAGAGAGGACAATTATCTCATTGGTGAAGTTTTTTGAGTGAAACTAAAAGTAAAGTCGTGAGAGTTATACCAAAAACGGACAATATCATACATTGTAGAGATAAAGAATTTTTTTTTTTTAAATTGTTTTAGTTAAGGTATCCATAAAAATTAAATTTGTAAAAATTTGTTTTCTTAAATTTTTGGATTCTTGTTTTTAATCTTCAACTTAATTACCATATGCAGCTGTAATTTTTTTTTAAATAAAAGAAATAAACTGGAC